AGCTTCCGAGGGTGGGGGGTGATAGTGGATTTTTTTTTCCCATGGAGAAAAAAAGTTCAAAAATATTTGAGGACACAGAAATGCTCTAATAGCCACCATGTCAGGCTACACAGAGAAGCCATTGAAAAGCACAAGCATGTGGACAAGTTCAGCAGAAAGGAAGAAACCATGAAAATGAACAAAATCTGGCTACCATTATTTAAAAAAAACCCTCTAAAATTATAACAATTAATAAAGACCAAGACTCTAAAACAGAGAACTCCTGACAATAAACAATCAGCTAATCACCTATCAACAAATGATTCCCCCAGCGGAAAGAAGCCAGACCTTGAAACTGCTAGGCCAATAAATGCTAATCAAGGTGGCCAATTGAAACATTCCCACCTACCTCCAACAGACAAGAGTTCTTTCTCCCACCCTGGACATTCCACAGATATAGAAAACCCCTTTTTCCTAGTTTGCAACAGACCTCACAACCTCTGAGGATGCCAGACATAGATGCAGGTGAAACATCAGGAAAGAATGCTTCTGGAACATGGTAATACAGCCTGAAAAGCTTGCAACAACCCAGTGATTTCAGCCATGAAAACCTTCGACGATACACTGTCTTATAGTTACTTTGTCAATTGAAATACCCATCTCCTTCTCCTCCTTGCTTGACATCCCCCCCCAAAGGACACCCACTGACCACCCAAAATTATCATAAAATCACAACTGAACTTTCACAAAGGAAATCATAGTATAATAGAAACTGGAAAGGGGGTTATAAAAAGATTTGTTGTGCCAATGAAAAGAAACACTTTTCTAATGGAATCCCATGAAAACAACATAATTTCAAATATTTGTACCCTGCCCTTCTCTACCCCCAAAGGGGGACTCATCATGCAATGAGCCCTAATTAAAGAAACTATTATCCTGATGCAATTGGGATTTGCTTGCCTAGTGCAATAAGGCTATCAGTTTGGATCCTTCTGACATGGAAGACACTGCTAGCAGTACTGCCACTATCAGCATAGCCTCTTGCCTCACAGGTGCACACAGCATGACTGTAGAAAGGTAGCGCCAAAAAAACCTTATCTTAAAACTCTTCACCATCATAGGCACTGGTTAATTCACCAACTTTTATCAGTTATTTTTCATTCTCGTGCAGTCAATTTTTAAATTTATTTTTTCCATTGAATTTACAATTTTCTTTAATGTTAAGTTCTCAGTGAAATTTTAACCAGAAAGAAAGATTGAATACACAGAGGGATTCAAAGCCAAACTTTTAATCATAGAATCACAGAATCATTGAGTTGGAAGAGACCATGTGGGCCATCCACTCCAACCCCCTGCCAAGAAGCGGGAAAATAGTATTCAAAGCTCCCTCAACAGATGGCCATCCAGCCTCTGCTTAAAAACCTCCAAAGAAGGAGCCTCCACCACACTGCTGAACAGTTCTCACAATTAGGAAGTTCTTCCTAATGTTCAGGTGGAATCTCCTTTCCTGTAATTTGAAGCCACTGTTCCATGTCCTAGTCTCCAGGGCAGCAGAACACAAGCTGGTCCCCCTTCCCTATGACCTTCCAACACATATTTATAGATTGCCATCATGTTTCCTCTCAGCCTTCTCTTCTGCAGGCAAAACATGCCCAGCTCTTTAAGCTGCTCCTCATAGGGCTTGTTATCCAGACCCTTGATCATTTTAGTTGCCCTCTTCTGGACACATTCCAACTTGTCATCATATCCCTTCAATTGCAGTGTCTAGAATTGGACACAGTATTCCAGGTGTGGTCTGACCAAGGCAAAATAGAGGAGTAGAATGATTTCCCTGGATCTATGTACTATATTCATTATTCAGGCCAAAATTCACATTGGCTTTTTTACCGGCACATGGCATTGTTGGCTCATGTTTAACTTGTCCACAAGGACTCCCAAGATCTTCTTCACACATACTGCTATTGAGCCAGGCATCCCACATTCTGTATCTTTGCATTTTGTTTTTTTCTGCCTAAGGGCCTCATCAGACTATAGAAAAAAATCCACTTAAAATCCAGTTTTTGTCTCCTGCAGAATTCTGGAGTTTGTAGTTTAGGGAGGAGTCTTTAACAACCTTCTGCAGGAGGCATAATCTGGATTTTAAGTTGATTTTTTCTCTAGTGTGATGAAGGTGACTTAGTATCTTGCATTTGCTCCTGTTGAACTTCTCTCTAATCTGTTAAGATCATTTTGAATTCTGCTCCTGTCTTCTGGGGTATTGGCTATCCCTCACAATTTGGTGTCATCTGCAAACTTGATGATCATGCCTTCTAACCCTTCATCTAAGTCATTAATAAAGATGTTGAACAGGACTGGGCCTAATAATTCAGTATACTCAAAGTTGTCTATCTGGACTGAGGAATCTGTTACTTTCTGTTTCTCTTACAATTACATTTTAAATATCTCTCAAATGCAACCAGCCACACACACACACAAACTTTTGTAGAAACTTGTGCATTTTTGAGTTCTATTCAGAAAAACAAACAAAATTCTCACTAATTGCTCATCATGTGATCTACACACCTGAGGGGTCAAGCTGAAGGAGATATGGATCACCGGCAGTGACAGGGTCAAGAATAGTTAAAACATTTGATGTAGCAGGACTATCAGCTTTAGATTCAACAGGGAAGCGATCCAGTACATCTACAAGTACACATGATAATAAGTATCCAGTAATTGGCTTCCTGAATACCTTATTGATTACACCTGATCCTCCTGGCCTAAATTTAAAAATATAAGAACATTTTATTATCTTGATAATTATATCAAAGTACATTTAAATGCATATAAATAAACGAAATGTAGACTTATGTCTCTCTTGTCTTTTACCATCCTAATACAACATGCAAATCCTAAATAGTCTATATGTATCTCTCATTGGTTTTGTTCCCTACTCTTCTTCTGTTATATCAGCAGGGAGAATTTGTTTAACTGAATCCAGAGGATGCCAAGCACTACCTTATGAGAAGAGGCAACTCTGGTTATTGTAATTTTCTTTAAACTTAAAATAGTGTCTTTATGGACCTAGATCAAGAAAACTAGATCCTAAAAATCTGACACTTGCCAGCTGCGCTATTGTGTGTGTTTTTGTTCTTTATGGGTGCAGAATTTGTTACATATTTATTTATTTATTTACTTTGCTTATATACCGCTGTATCTCAAGCCTGTCTTGTGCTATCCAACGTTGTGGATAACGAGACACAGAGTTTTCTCTATCTTTGTGATACATTTATTTTCTGATACATATTTTTCTCCTTCTGTGCCTGTGAAACTGTCTCTTTGTGAGTAGGGCCATACTGAGACCAGAGTTCTTTCTTTAAGAGAAAACTCATCTCCATGGAGCTTTTGGTCCACTGGGGATATGGGAGGAAAACGTTTTTACTTTGTATCTTGTAGGAATCATAGAATTGGAAGAGGCCATCCAGTCCAATCCCCTGCCAAGAAGCAGGAAAATCGCATTCAAAGTACCCCTGACAGATGGCCATCCAGCCTCTGTTTAAAAACCTCCAAAGAAGGAGCCTCCACCACACTCTGGGCAGAGAGTTCCACTGCTGAACAGCTCTCACAATCAGGAAGTTCTTCCTAATGTTCAGGAGGAATCTCCTTTCCTGTAGTATGAAGCCACTGTTCCACGTCCTAGTCTCCAGGGCAGCAGAAAACAAGTTTGCTCCCTCCTCCCTATGACTTCCCCTCACATACAAGGCTCTCATTATGTCTCCTCTCAGCCTTCTCTTCTGCAGGCTAAACATGCATAGCTCTTTAAGCTGCTCCTCATAGGGCTTGTTCACCAGACTCTTGATCATTTTAGTTGCCCTCTCTTGGACACATTCCAGCTTGTCAACATCTCCCTTAAATTGCGGTGCCCAGAACTGGACACAGTATTCCAGGTGTGGTCTGGCCAAGGCAGAATAGAGGGATAGCATGACTTGCCTGGTTCTAGACACTATATTCCTATTTATGCAGACCAACATCCCATTGGCTTTTTAAGCCAGTGCACCATATTGTTGGCTCATGTTTGACTTGTTGTCCCCAAGGACTCCAAGATCTTTTTCATGTGGCAGTCTGTTTAATCTCTAAAGACGGATCAGGACAAGAGTGAGAGCACAACCTGTGAGCTGCATGAGAACATTACACCCATTTTTGTGCAGTCCAAGACCCCCTAAAGCCACCCCACATTTTGACAGCAGCTATAATTTCCTTTCTATTAATTCTGGAAGAGAAAAAGATATTGTCCTGTGGTTATTCAGGGATGTATAGGATCAGAGGATGTCTTGGCATCATCTGGCATCAGAGAATCATTGTGGGTATGCATAATGGCGAATCTTGCTTTCTTTCTGCTTTCTTTCTGCTTCCTGGCTTATACCATACCCTAGTTTTAGTGTTTTCATATAATAGCTATTTTTCATGTACTCTTCAGTAGAACATCCTTTGGTGATGTAGATTATTATATTTAAAAATAAATAATATTCACAGACTACTTGGCCCCATACTATTCAAATTTTGATAATCTGTTAAGTGCCAGCTGCAACTAGATCAGTGGTTCTCAACCTGTGTGTCCCCAGATGTTTTGGCCTTCAATTCCCAGAAATCCTAACAGCTGGTAAACTGGCTGAAATTTCTGGGCAATGTAGGCCAAAAACACCTGGGGACACGCAGTTGAGAACCACTGAGCTAGGTACATACTCAACTTGAAGGCACTATGAAGAACATTTAGCAATCTGGATTCTATTTTCTGAAACTTCTGGAATCTGTTTCCTGCTAAGCATGGGCAGACAGTTTTAGCCTATGCTCCTTAAAATTGTAGTTTTAAAAGCTTGCACTGCTAATATTTGCCTCTGAGATGGTTTTAAAAAAATTAAACAACTGCTTATGACTTCTAAGATGAGTGGTTACTGGCATTTACCCATATTCTAATGCTTTGCCTATATGCAGGCGATTGAACATTGCATCAGGTACCGCTGGATTTAGTGACATGTGGTTACAAAAGACGATCTGTTCTTCAGTGATATACTGTACTGCCAAAGCAGCATTAAAGCCTAAATCATCCCCCTGGAATAAAGTGAGAAAACATAATTATTCAGTTTTATTGCATGCAATTAGCTCAGGATAAAAAAATTGAGCCATAAACCCATCAAGAATTTAAAAATAAGGTTTTTAAAAATGTATTAGTAGCCATAATTTAAATATATATTAAAACAGACATTTAAACGTTATTTTCATTTATTAATTCAGACATTTAAAATCCATTCATAGAGCTGTGGTCATTAGGGATTCCATCTCCCTAGTCTGAAATTCTTTGCCAGTTTCAAGTAGTAATGTAATAAAAATGTGAGACAGGTTAGGGATTGTTTTTGTGTACCTCCTGCTGCACAGCAATTTCACTTCCTGTGTCAACAAGAATGCTAATGCAGAAAAGCAAGAGGGTTGCTGGTTCTCTAGAAAGCCAGGCTTCTCCCAAGATGCCACCCCTCCACATCTTGGCTGAAGAATCTAATTTGGTTAGAGTAGTAAGCAGGAACTGATGCTGCCAGAAACATTGTCAAATAAGGCTCCAAATATGCACACCCACACACACTGACAGTATTAAACAGAATTGTTATCTGTCATTGAGAAAAATGTATATGTCTGTCTGGTTGCATACTGTCCTTCAGTGGATACACTCACAAAGTGTATCTAGAGATGTGGGGAAAAGTCTGGACATCTCTTAAGGCAGTTGTTCAGGGTGCAGCTGCTATACTGATTACTTTAATACATCTTGATTTAAAAATGCTAAGTGCATTGTCCTATACTATATTGCTCCCCTGGTTCATAGAAAACTAGAGTGATAGCAGTCAAGTGGTCAGGATCAGCTCACCTGAGCTTTGCTTGAAATACAATTCCAAGCCATTGTTTGTGTGCATTTTCTGACAAACTTCAATTTATTCTCTTTGGTATCTTTTGTTTTGAACTCCAGCGTTCTGGGGCTTGGTGTTCAGCCAGCTGTTCATTCATGGGCATCTCTTACCTTGATGGGTCTCATGAATTAGAAGAACTTGTGGCCCATTTCACTTTAATACTGCTTCCCGTGATTCTTCTCTAGCACAACTGTTTGTTCAGCTCTGATACTAAATGATGATTCAAGAATCAGTTATCCCCCATTTTCCTATTGAACCACTACTCTGTTTACCAAAAATGATCCAGTTACCCTGTATTAACTGTGTTAATTCTTCCACATAGATGCAATCTTAGTCAAAGATACCAGGAAGAAGAAACAACCTAGAAGTAGTAGAATTCTCATCATGCTGCTGCTCTTCTGGCAGGAAAAAACAGAAACTGAATTTTGATTGCTAAAGCATGCAAGCTTATTCACGTCTGAAATACTCTGATTCTGGTAGAAGACCCATTGTGTGATTGACAGAGGGCACAGAGATCTAGTTGTCATCTCAAAATCAGCTTCTAGCTTTGATGTACTGACTGAAAGAGTTAAGGTTCATTCCCATATAGCAATTATTACAATGTAAAAATATTATCATTAGTGCATTTATACATAATATAATATGTAATTAGCTTAATTAGCACATCAAAAGCACACTATACCTTCAATAAAGTGTTCACATCCATCTCAGACACTACTACGTCATCAGTAGATGAACTGTTCAAAACAATATAATTTAAAGTTCCCAGGTGGTCAAAATACATGCTAAATATAGCTCCTGGTGTAACTCTAAGCCTGGCATATTTTTGCATGCCTGGGGAAGGAACAAAGGAAAACACAATATTGCTAATATTAGAGTATGAGTAATTTTAGAACAGTGATTTTCAGTAAGGTCAGTGTCTGCCTTGCCAGAACTAGAGAGAGTCAGAATATAAATGTAAAAAAATAAATTATTGAATCAACAATCTGTGTAAATGGGGGTCTTCCTCCTCAAAAGGACATCTTTATACCTTTACTTCTTTGTCTATTTTATTACCTTGTTTGTTTTAACAACACATCCTAAAAGAATGTTAACTAGGTTGATGCAGGTTTTTTGGACTGTATGGCCATGTTCTAGAAGCATTCTCTCCTGACTATTCGCCTGCATCCATGGCAGGCATCCTCATAGGTTGTGAGGTCACAACCTCTGAGGATGCTTGCCATAGATGCAGGTGAATCGTCAGGAGAGAATGCTTCTAGAACATGCCCATACAGTCCGAAAAACCTACAACAACCCAGTGATTTTGGCCATGAAAGCCTTCAATGATTTTTAACTAGCTTGTTCATTTTCTCATGTTAAAATCCTGAGATTCAAAAACTTAAAGCATGTTTAAGGAGAGTTTTGATGCTAATTCTGCATGTTTGGACTACACCACTGGTCACAAATTGGGAACCCAGGCAACCAGATGACGAGAGGGACCTTCAAATGCATAAAGATCAACTGACAATTAGAAAAGAACCTGTAGTACCTCACACATCTGTTTCAAGAGACAGGGAAGATGTGGGTCAAATTATGCTATGTTAATTGTGTCATAAATAATTATTTGTTTTTCAATTTTTTACACCAACAGATGCATAAATCTTGGGCAAAATATGGGAGGCTGTTCTTTTCCCAGGAAAGAAGTGATGTGATCTGAAAATTTAGTATGACAATTTAACGGAAAAAATTAGGAACCTTCTCCAAAGATTCATGGCCATGTGCATGTAGAGATAAGTGTTTTTCAGGATTGCAACTGTTGTATTCCATAACAGGAACACCTCTGTCTATAAACATCACACCTGTATAGTAAAATCAGCAAGCAGCTTATTGAAGGATACATGAAAGCAAAGCAATAAAAATGATAGAAGCGGTATAATCCAAAACAGTATATTCCAAAGGTAACAAATAGTCCATGAACTTCAAGGTACAAAGGTAAAAACACAAGATCCAAGGATGCAAAATCCAAAAGAACAAGACAGCATAGACATCCAATACCTACAGCAGCAACTTGGCAAAACTTGAAACATGAAGCTATAAATCCACTTGGAAACAAAATGGTCATGAAAATTCAACGTTGACCAGACTGAGCTAAAATCATTTCCTTTCATGAAATGAAAGGAAAACATTCAGTTTGCCTTTGCAACCAGATAAGGATTTCTTATCCCTCTTTTTCAGCAGATGGGCTGACCTTTGGCGAGTTTGGGAACTTTCCTTATTTTATAAAAGTCTTGTCTTCTATCTTCAATCTCATTAATTTCTGCACCTGACAAATCATCCTCAGAATACAGTTTCTCAGAGAAAGGTTCTCATGGGCCCCCTTCAGGAATTTGGCCTTGAGAATCTATAGGAAAAGCACTCTGTTCATGAGAAAATTCGGGCCTCTCAGCAAGGCCAGAAACTTGACAATTCAGGCCCAGGAAAACCATCATCCCCACTGACATTAGACACAGGCCCAGGAAAACCATCATCCCCCTTGACATCAGACACAATCACAGGCTGAACTACAACAGCACCTTAAAAGAGAAGTACTAAGTCCCCTTTTCCATGAGCTATCCTGTGTTTTTTAATAAGAAATTCCCAAACCAGTTTATGATGACAAAAGTAGCATAAATTTTCACTTTAGGACACACAGAGAATGAACATGTTAAGATGTTGACATGATGAACAAAGTTTAGTACATGTGTCATCGAAATACTGAAGTCTATGCCAAATGTTAGACATGTGCCTCAGAAATCTCACGGACTATGGTATATATAAATACTATACATATTTTATTGCCACTTTGACTTGATTGTTCACAGTACAAATACGCATCATGCACCTGATAGACTGGAGTTCAGAACATGAGCGCTTATGGCCATACTTAAAACTTTAAGGTGACACAAAATCTTTGTTTTGTTACAAAATATTAATATGGCTAGTTTTCTGAAAGCTATTCCAGTAAAGATGTTGACACTTCTATGTTTGATATTCTTTAATGTTCTGTATCCACATGATAGTGAAGATGGCATGATAATCTGCCTCACTGTATATTTAAAATCCCTCCATGTTTACAGACGTCTACAATTTTAAAAAAATCTTACCTGCCTTAGTGTAGAATATTGTGCCTTTGTCTGAGACGAATACAATAGCTTGGGTGTAAACACATGTGTCTGTTTCTACAATAGTCTCGTTCTCCAGTTTCATTATTGGTGTAAAAACATTGCCTCCATCATAAGAAATCCATACCTAAGCAGAGTATGGGAACTGAATTTAATAATAACTGACTTTTTGCATATTTAATTAAATATTAAAGATTTCATCAGCGTTGCCTTAAAAAATCCTACAAATCTCTTGGGAAATTATTTAAAGTTAAGGCAAAGTGCACTTAGTGTTCCACCTTTCAGAATTTATTTAATCCTATTGTTGTCGATAGAGTTTGAGATGGGTCATCTCCCAGTGGAGGATGAGGGTCTAAATTCTCCAGTTGTGGTGGTCTCAAGGTAAAGAGCTGTGTGCAAATATTCAGTTCACCTAATTAGAGCAGCAACTTCTTCTGCCTTTGCACTATTTGATGGCAGGGTGTTTTGGATGTCTATCATTTACAGGACTATGCTAAGTCATAGGTGACTTGATGGCAATTAATAATAACAAAATTAGTAACATAGACCTCAACTGAATAAATGCATTTATTTGGGCCCCATCTACACTGCCATGAAATTCAGTTTCAAAATGCAGATGAACTGCACCGAACTGAATTATATGGCAGTGGAGACTCATTACTTACTTACTTACTTACTTACTTACTTAGGCGATCCCTCGTAGTCCAAGGATGATGGTCCTCCAAGGTTGGTGTTCTGGTGGTGGGTCCATAGGTGACTGTGGAACACTATTCTTGATCTACATCTTCTCCCACAGTGAGGGCATTGGTTTCCAGGTGGAAGACGGTCCCGGTCGGGGTTGACTTGACACGCCTTCCTCTTGGCACGTTTCTCTCTTTCGCCCTCCATTTGTGCCTCTTCAAATTCTACAGCACTGCTGGTCACAGCTGACCTCCAGCTGGAGCGCTCAAGGGCCAGGGATTAACAGTTCTCAGTGTCTATGGCAGAGTTTTTAAGGTTGGCTTTGAGCCCATCTTTAAATCTCTTTTCCTGTCATCCAACATTCCGTTTTCCATTCTTGAGTTCAGAATAGAGCAACTGCTTTGGGAGATGGTGGTCGGGCATCCGGACAACATGGCCAGTCCAGCAGAGTTGAAGGTGGAGGACCATCACTTCAATGCTGGTGGTCTTCGCTTCTTCCATTTGTCTGCTTGTCTGGAACCTCCCCCATGGCCACTCCTGGGAGTGCACGATTCCAGTCGTTGTGCCCGCAGGTTCTTTGGAACACGCAAGCCCTCTCACTATGACAAGGTGACAGTTCCATCGAGGGGGAGTGGAGAGTCATATAATCCAGTTCAATGTAGTTCAATCTGCATTGTATGACTCTGTATTGACCATTATAAAGCTGTACAAAGTGGATTATATGGCAGTGTAGATGGGGCCTTAGTTAGCTTTCTTTTTCTCTCCAGTCATGGTGGTGCCAAGGGTCACTGTCCACTCTGCTCTGTATATATCTATTATTTATTATTATTTATTTAAAACACTTATATTCCGCCCTTCTCACCCCGAAGGGGACTCAGAGCGGAACACAACATATACATGGCAAATATTCAATGCCTGGGTACAATACATAAATATTAAAAAAACTTTTATCTAAATATTAAAATACACCATTTAAAATAACACAATTTAAAACCATCCTAGCCATCAGCTTCAAATCCAATTGGCCCTGTCATCTTTCCCATTATCGCTTCATTGCCCTGTCCCGAAAGTTTGGTCCCACAGCCAAGTTTTTACCATCCTTCTAAACGACAGTAGGGAGGGGGCCAATCTGATCTCACAAGGAAGGGAGTTCCATAGCCGGGGAGCAATCACCAAGAAGGCCCTGTAATATGGGAGTTGTATGCTCCCTGTATGCCGCCCCAATTATTAACCTGGCTGCCTCTCGTTGGACTATTTGAAGCTTCCGAGCAGTCTTCAAAAGCAACCCCACGTAGAGTGCGTTGCAGTAGTCTATTCTAGATGTAACGAGAGTGTGGACCACCGTGGCCAAGTCTGACTTCCCAAGGTACAGGCGCAGCTGGAGCACAAGTTTTAATTGTGCGAACGCTCCCCTAGCCACCACCGCAACCTGGGATTCCAGGCTCAGTGATGAATCCAGAACTCCCAAGCTTTAAGAGGAGTATGACCCCGTCCAGCACAGGTTGCGACCCTATACCCTGTTCGGTCTTGTGACTGACCAGGAGGACCTCTGTCTTGTCTGGATTCAACTTCAATTTGCTCGCCCTCATCCAGACCGTCACAGCAGCCAAGCACCGGTTCAGGACTTGGACAGCCTCCTTAGCATCAGGTGGAAATGAGTGATAGAGTTGGACATTATCTGCGTACAGATGGCATCGAACTCCAAAACTCTGGATGATCTCACCCAGTGGCTTCATGTAGATGTTAAACAACATGAGGGACAATACTGAGCCCTGCAGGACCCCACAGGACAATGGCTGTGGAGCCGAGCAGGAGTCCCCCAGCAACACCTTCTGGGTACGACCCTCCAGGAAGGACTGGAGCCACTGCAGAACAGTCCCTCCAAGACCCATCCCTGCAAGGCGCCCCAGAAGGATACCGTGGTCTATGGTATCGAAGGCCTCTGAGAGGTCCAGGAGAACCAACAGGGACACACTCCCCCTGTCGAGCTCTCTGCGGAGATCATCCACTAAGGTGACCATGGCTGTCTCAGTTCCATGTCCCAGTCTGAAACCGGACTATGACGGATCCAGATAATCAGTTTCGTCCAAGAATCCCTGGAGCTGTGAGTCAACCACACGTTGAAAGACTTTGCCCAAAAAGGGGAGATTGGAAACTGGCCGAAAGTTGTTCAAATCAGTGGGATCCAGTGATGGCTTTTTCAACAGCGGTTTTATCACAGCTTGTTTTAAGCTGGCTGGAATTTTGCCTTCCTGAAGGGAGGCATTCACCACCACCTTGACCCACTCTGCCAACCCCCCTCTGGCTTCCTTTATCAGCCAGGATGGGCAGGGGTCCAGGATGTATGTGGTCGCCCTCACCTCTCCAAGAATCTTGTCAACATCCTCGAGTTACACAAATTGAAATGAATCCATTAAAACTGGAAAAGCAGGTGCTCTTGCTACATCTTCAGAGACTGCAGTAACTGTGGCGTCCAGGTTGGAGCGAATCAGAGCGACTTTATCCGCAAATAACCGAGCAAATGCCTCACAGTGAGCTGTTGAAGGGCCAGGGAAATACACAAGGTTTTAGATCTACTGACTGGAAGGGAGTAGGCTGGATTAAATATTTCTGTGAGCAACTGTGGTTAGTACTTATGCATGGCATTTAACAACATCACCCTATATCTCAGGTTTGAGCCCCAAAACATTACAATCTGGAGACGAAGGACCAGACAATCCTGGCTGTCAAACCTAGGGTTTTTCTTGTTTATGTTGGAGCTGCTGCTGCTCCTGAGAAATTCAGGTCTTCTCTATTTTAGAATGAACATTTATACACTCAACTATTATCTTTAAACCCAAATACAAGCAGCTGGATATGGAGACGTTTTGATAATGTTTTTTTTAATGCTGTGTATGGTTTTTATATTTTTATTGCTGTTAGTGTTTTAATGGTATTTATGATTGTTTTAATTGTTGTAACTGTTTTGGCATCAAATTGTTGTCTATTGTTAACCGCTCCTAGTCACCCTTGGGCTGAGTGGTGGTGGTATATAAGCATAGTAAATAAATAAATATTAGATGAAGGGGGGCAGGTACTAGTAGTTAGGTTATTACAGGGAGGGGGGAGGAGGTGTGTCCCGCTGATAGGTTTGGGGAGAAATCTTGGCCCTTCACAGACCAAATTGTGTAGGCCTGATGTAAACTCTAATAGAGACGATCTAAAACCTTGTGTATTTCAAGTTTCCTTCCCTCAAAGGATGTATTTCTTTTCCAAAATAATCTATGAACGTCCGTAATTATGATCACAATAAAAATGCAATTATTTATCAATGTCAACAGGTTTCTTGCTCTTACACACCTGATTTCCGTAAGCGTATAAGAAATGACTGCCTGGATGGAAAAACATTCCAAATGGGATAAAGTCTAGATCTGGAAACCAAAAAGCTGGAAATTTTCTCTGTTTCCTCAGTTCATTGCCTTCTAACTTATGCACTGACACCAATGCCCTGTTCTAAAAAGAAGTGGAAAATAGAGACAATGGGAAATTGTACATTATCAGAAATGAACAATAAATTTAGTAGGAAGGTACTACCACTATGTTTGGGGGCCTTTGGGGTCAAAACAGGTATTTATATTTTCACAACATGAACTTGGGGTGGAGGGGTTGTATGCTCAGGAGAAGAGAAGTCAGGAAGTCAATTCTGCTTTTTTTCTGTTCCAAGAAGGCCCCCAAACTTGATGAAAATGCACCCATCTCCCTAGAAGACTTTTTTTATTCTCTTGATACTTATAAATGACACACCAGCAGAAGGTGGATGGAGGGAGAAAATCGCTYCCCCCACTTTTCTCCTGGAACATCATTTGTACGTGCCAGGAGAACTCTGGCAGCCATCTTATGGAGCCCGGGTGAGTTCTTTTCCTTTTTTACTGTGTTTACGGAGGCTTCTGGGGGGGGGGGGTTAAGTGTCCCAGTGTTCTACTGGGAAGTCCCAGTAGAACATCTGGACACTAACTCCAAGAAAGTGCATGCTTTCAGAGGGGGTGGGGGGTGGACAGGGCCCCAGAAACATCCATGTTTTTTTAAACGCGGATTCTCTGGGATAAAGCCCCATCTGCAAGGCCCTCAGAAAGGTTTAGAGCTTTCCCATTTATGTATTAATGAGGCCCATCTTCAAATCACCAGGCACACCTTTCAAGTGGCTATGTTTAGAAATTGATCAACAAAGGAGACAGGACAACATTGAGAGAGTTGAGGATAGCTGTAGCTAGGACTGCCTTTGTAGAGCTTCAGCTAGTGTACTAGTTATTTCATTTCCTGAATAATGTTCTACTAATATCCAGATTTGATTATTTCAACATCAAAAGCATTTGGAAATGTAAAAAGCATCAGCCACTCTTATATCAATGCACTGGGTGACACCAATCCTAGAGGTGCACTGGAAGAGAAGAACCATAAACAATTACAAAATGCTAAATAAATTATACTGTTTTACCTGTTGAGATAAAATTGCTATGCCTGTGTTCTGTTCATAATCAACTATGAATGAAACTACCCGTCTAGAAACTGTTCTTTCAGCTTTTGTTCTGTGAGGCAAGCAATTGTGCCATTTAGTAAATGAATCATTACTATAGAAGCAGGTGGATTCCTGTTTAAAACAAAATGAAATTAGTGCAATTGATGTAGGAATCAACCACAGCTCTGGTTCTAGTGTTATCAATTTTTTTAGTACAATGGAAATGAAGAAAACAGTAATTAATATTCCACTTCATTTTGAAGACAAGTGGGTTTCTACAATTTTTCCAAGAATGCACTAAAGATGTATAATGGGATTTTAAAAAGACATTTTAAAATCAAGACAGAAAAAACACAAACAATGGAAGCAACAATATTTCCCTGTTGGGTTTAGATATTTAATAACCTAAACATACTAATTATAATTTTTGAACCTATGAAGTTTCCTTTTTTCATCCATACTTTGTAATGCTCACTTCTATATAATTTAGTAACAACATGATAGTAGCTTCTTCACTATCTTAAGCCCATTTTTTTCTGTCCTACCAGTTTAGGCACCTTCTCAGTCCAACTCTTTGAACCTTGCTCAGGAATTCAGAGCATAGAATCATAGAATCAAAGAGATGGAAGAGACCTCATGGGCCATCCAGTCCAACCCCCTGCCAAGAAGCAGGAACATTGCATTCAAATCACCCCTGACAGATGGCCATCCAGCCATCTGCATGTTCATCTGCATGTATGAACTATGGCATCTTCACAGAAAACATTTCATTATTTTTTGGTCATTCTATCCCTTATCTCCCTTTAGCTTAAAGCCTTCCATATAGCAGTTTATAAACCTAACGAATATTGGGCAGAGAAACTGAATACAGTGTTAGATTAAATGCTGCAAGCTATAAGCACTCTGTGTAAGCACCTTCTGCTAAAACTGGGTTTGATGGAAACTTCACTGAAACTTTCTGAACACTTTTTGCCATGACTGTTAGGACTACTGAATAAAATTATAATCAACAAAAAAACATCAGGTATTACTGCCTTTTATCTTACCTGACTTAATGTCTTGTCTTTGTTAAATGACAGACCAACATAGTCCACTGGAAGGGATAAATGCATTAAGTACAATTCACTGTTTGCATTTCTAAAAGACAATTTACAAAATGTATTCATCTTAATTGACCTCAGAGTTACATTTTAAATGTTAGTTTTGCTCTAGACTGTTGCACCCCATCCAGAATTCACCTTGCACTCAACACCAGTCAGGAATCCCAAAAGTGGTAATAAAACAGTTTATTAAGAAAAATACATATCAAAAGGAAAAGTCACCATAAGAAATACGAAAGACAAAGTTCAATAGGTAATGGGGAAAATAGTCAATAATAAGCCAATCCAAACTGGCAATAGGGGAAAACACTCCACAGGATCTTGATCTAAAATCCCCTCATATCCCTAATTGAAATAATAATCCACCACTTTCCCAGGCTTGGAAATACCAATCCCCTAATCGTCATCTGGTTGAACCACAACATAGACTTCAAAATGCTCGATGGAATAAGAAAGGAATGACTATGGATACTCTTGACAGCATCTTGTGCTGAAATGCTTTCATCTGCAAATCTTCATAAATACTATGTAGCAATTTCTCAACAGTTATATAAAGGCAATATGCCTATCTGCACCAGATGCACATGACAAACAGGAAGGAAGCTATCTAAACACTGGGTGAATCTACACTGACCTGCTATTTTGAGGCCACCTTTCATTCTGCAAATCACTGTCAATGCCACAGAATCCAAATCAAGAACTTTATATTTATGTTTTATTATGTTTTATTTATTGATTAAAAAAATCATCTATTCCTGCAAATAGTTCAGCCAACATGACCTTTTATCATGTACAGGCAACCCCTGTGTTACAAACATCTGTCTTACAAATGACTCATAGTTAAGAACGGGTGTGGCACTACAGGAAGTGGGAGAAATCTACCCTCAGGAAGAGAAATTCACTCCTGAAAGAGTTATCCTGGGGAAAAGGTGCCTCCACTGCAGCTTTCTCAGCAGTCTTTGTTTCCACAACAAGCCACATTTTTCAGAATCTAATCATCACAGGGACAGAAAGTGAGGTGAAATCTTCTGAACAGGGCACAGACAGCAAAACAAACACCACAGGGGTGTTAACCCTTCCCTATGATATCCAAAGCTAAAATATATAATTTTTGACACTTAAAAATGTACCTGTTCCAAACTTACAATCAAATTCAATTTAAGAACAAACCCACAAAACCGATCTTATTTGTAACTTGAATGCCAGTGTTTGAATATATAAGAATGTCCTTTTAAAAAATATCGTAGGGATCAGCCTCTACTATAATATTTCAGTTACTCTCTTGCTTCTTATATTTATACCACTTACAGCTCTGATTTCCTTACCTTCCTCCTTTTCTCTGTTAGCTAGACACTGGCGACTATACCATATTCTTGCTCTGAAATAATCATCCTACAAGGAAAATGTGAAATAAGTTCATACTGTTCCCACTGCTATTTTTTATGTATGCTATGACTGGCAAGATTCAGAAAAGGTTCAATAAATCACAGCCCACTGTAATGTTGCTGCCATACTATGCCGCAAGATTTTTCAAGGCCCTGGGAGTGCTATAGGACTACCATTTGGCAGGAAATAAAATACTGAAGAGCACCAGTTCCTTTTAGCCCCTGTGACAGTTCCAGCAATGCAAGTCATGGCTACTTAAGAGAGGGAGGAAATGTCACATATTTTATGAAAGAGCAGGAAGATAAAATGGCTCCAAGGATTGAAAATAAAAAAGAACAGCCATTAAGAAGGTTTTTGTCTTAAAAACCTCCAAATGAAACAGCATATGGCATTGTTGAACAGCTATTAATGCCAGAAAGTTGTTTCTAATGTTTAGGTAGAATCTTTTTTCTGCAGTTGGAATCCCCATTACCGCGTGTCTCAGTCGCTGGGGCAGCAAAAACAATCTTGCTCCATCTTCAATATGACATATTTTTACATATTTAAACATGGCTATTATGCCACCACTGAACCTCTCCTTTCTGCTGAGTTTCCCTCAAGGAATATACCAGTAGTTTCCAGACCTTTGATCATTTCAGTTCTCTTTCTCTGGACACATTCCACCTTGTCAATAAAGCAGATTTGTGAATCTGTGAAGAGACAGGCCCTGAAAAAAGGTATTGGGAAAGTGACATAGATATTGTGGGGTGGCTCTGGAAGAGCTGAGGCAAGGCCCTGTTAGCTACTGGTAAACTGATGAAACAGCAGCCGCAACCCATTTAGGCAGGCATTAAGATGGCACAGAGAGGTCCTTGTAAGAACCGCCACAGAAGACAAAAATGCAAGGGGAAATGTGAAAGTAATTTGTCTTCTCTACATACAAAGGCAGGGTTTTTCTTATATCAATTGTGTCATATGTGCAGCTCATTCAGTCCTAGTGAGAGGAAAAGCCCCTGAGCCAACAGTATATGAGGGTTATCCGGAAAGTATAGTTACAAGATTTTTAAAAATATATTATATAGCATAGGTATTACATTAATTTTCCACATAATCATCATTCAGTGCATCCATTGGATGAGTTTTTGATGCCTGTGTCATAGAAGTTTCCTTCTGTCTTTTTCAGTCAGTTCATCACTTCGATTTTCACCTCATTGTCGTCAGAAAAGTGTTTTCCACCAAGGTGTTCCTTCAATTTAGTGAGCAGATTATAGTCACTGGATGTGAGATCAGGGCTGTGAGAGAGGTGGCTTAAAACATCTCAACCAAATGAAGTCAACAACTCTTGTGCTGCATGAACAGTGTGCATCAGCATCTGATGACATTTGTTTTGGATGGCTCTGTGAAGTTTTTTCATTGCCTCACAAGATATTCTGCACCCATTTTGTCACATGCTGTCTTGACATTATGTCCTCTCCATAAACAGAAATGATTTCAGGATGAATTGCAGCAGCATTCATGACCTTCGCATTTAGGTAGCATATTACAGCACAAACTTCGCACTTGGAGGGAAATGGAATGAGGACGCTCATCTCTAACCTTCACCACAATGCCAGTCAGTGAACTACTGACGACTGGCACTGCTCGTTTGCTTCCGCTAGCTTTCCGCTACATGGCAGGGATACCAACTTCCCCTGTGAAAATCCCCTGTGCCTTGTAACCTTAATTTCTGGATAACCCTCATAATTACCACCGAAGCCAAACAAAGTAGCCCTGTCAACATGAACCCAAAGCGGCTGAAACAGTCTTACTTACCATAAACTAGTTTGACTTTATGAATAGCAAAAGCACCATTTAATCATTTCTTACCATTTCAAAGCCACACAAGGTTGGTTTCTTGAACTGGAAGACAATAAAATAATAAATGAAATACAATAATGCGAACAAAATTCCCCCTCCCATTTCTTCACAACGTAATTTTATAAAATATATTACTTTACAAAATTACTTCATCCATCACAAAGAAAAGATGTTCCAGGTTTACTGCCTAGTAATAATTTTTGTGACCTCAAGGGAAATGTTGGCACATTTAGAGGTATACTTATACTTACTTACTCTCAGCACCTGTCCAGATTCTGGTGGATAACGCAAATCATCACTGATAAATAATCCCAGTGTAGTAAGTATTATTAGACGAGTATTTATTAAAATTACATCCACAAGTGCAAGACCAGCGCAGTCTGTGAGAAAGAAAGGGCCTCATGAGAATCATTACCAAAAAGTTATCTTGGCAACCACTTTATCACACTAGAGAAAAAATCCGCTTAAAATCCAGCTTCTGCTTCCTGCAGAATTCTGGAGTTTGTAGTTTAGGGAGGAGCCTTTAACTAAACTACAAGCCCCAGATTTCTGCAGGAGGCAGAAACTGGATTTTAAGTGGATCTTTTCTCTAGTGTGATGTGGGATGCTTAGATCCCAAATATCTCTAATATCACCCAGGATATGATTTTAATATTGCAATAGGAACAATCTAATTGAAGTATTGAAAAGAAAAAGGAATTACCATCTTCTAGGACAGTACAAATGGTGTCTGACAGGTTATACCACTTTGTATCTCGACTCATAAACCCAGTGTCAGTGATTCCTAAAACAACTCCTGTAGAGATACATGAAAAGAGAACGACAATATAAAATCGGGATGCAGCTATTTTCGGTACTGCATTATCCTTGCCATTATAACTCATTCTTGGTACATATTAACAGATATTTCCATGTAATCTTCAAGGAAAGCTCTTGAAGAAAGAGCAGTGTATTCCACATGTAGAGATTCTTTGTTGCATTTTGCCTTGTTCACTGAATCTTACAGATTCATTATACACTGGCAACACTCCCTTCATTACCAGTTTGTCTTCTGTCTTTCTTACCAGAATAAGTAAAAAATATGACATAGCTCTACAGTACTGTCTGATTTTACCTTTCATTTGGAAATGTGGAGTGAGCCAACAGTTATGTTCAGAAATATGATAAAAGCAAAGGCATTATCACAAGCATGTTTGTCATCTCATATGTTCTATGTAATTCATATTAACATTTCCCCATATGACCAGGCATTTGGACAATGAGATAGCAGTGTTAAAAAACCAAAAAAAAAAAAAAATTGTTTGAGCAGGCTAGTGCATCCCAGGACATTCTGATAAACAATTTGGTAATGAAAGAATTATTGTAAATGCAATTGATAAGAATGCAAAAAGACAGAATAAACTGGAGGGAGCTTTAACTACTGCTATATTAAATGAGCAGTGAGCAGATAAGCATCATTTTTCTCTATCTATATACAGTATATATGTGTGTATGTGTTTGAAAATATGTATGTATGTTCCACAATATCTCCTACATGACTTGATGGATCTGCACCATACCTTGTCGACATATGTTTTATTCGTCAACTAAAAATACTAGTGCAGTTCAAAGTACAGAAATTCTGTTTGCTGGTTAACAAATGTTTGAAATGATCTATATTGCTGGCCAATGAGCCTTATGCCACAGTGCTTACAACTACCCACAAGAGGGCAGTGGAGTATTGCCATGGATGCATTCTAAGTCAGGCCTTCTCATAGGCCTATATATTATAATCAACAAGAAGAGCCTTTAGGGCATTATATAGGTAGATATGATTAGCTAGGGGTGTGCAATCTGTTCTGTTTTCATTTTGAATTTTGGGTAACCCCCCCCCCCCCCACTTCTGTTTTCAGGAAGATTCCAGGAGATTAGGAGGAGGGCCATTTGGAATCGTAATTAGGAACCCTTAGTTCTATTTCCATAAGCATCTTCCCTGAAACCAGAAAGGGGGGGGGGGCACCCGTAAACAAAACAGAATTCTGTGCTATTTCGTACACACCTATGCTACTGCCCTGTGACCCTATGCAGCTTCTTTGCATGAATAAGTGTGTTTAAGTCTCTTAAATTCAGTATAGCAATCTGTTGCTTTTAGCTATATACTGAATAACAGAGTTCTCTCTTTCATTACTGGGTGCAGGGGATGAATTCTGTTGCTTAAATAGTAAAAGTGGCTCTACTGGTACGTCTGTACCAGGAGCTCCAACTTTATTTTCTTTCTGTTATCTGTTTGCAGTTATAGGGCAGGCCTCCTGTCCATCATAATTAAGCTTTGGTTCCGCCCCTTGTTCAGGGCTCTGGGAGGGAAAGGAACCATTTTTTGGGCAGTCTCACACAAGGAAGCTAGACTATAGGACGTAGACCAGCTCGTCCCGTAGAAAAGCTTCTTTTCTCAAGAGCATCCAGGGAAACAGAACATCTGGGGAAACAGAAACAGAAATTCCAGGGAAAAGGTCCCGAGGCTCTTGCTGAGAGATCACAGCCTCTCAGCCTCACAGCAATCACAGGGGAAACAGCCCTGAAGTTTCAAAGAATTCTCTGAGGGAGGACAGCATTACAGATCCACGGAACTTCAGCTGAAATATCTTCAAGCCTCGGCTGGTAAGTCTACTCGATACCCAGATGCATTTGGAATCGGTAGTAGGACCCACACCGATGAGGCATAGATAGTAAACAGCCTGGGAGAGGTTAAAAAGGGGTTTTCCTACAGAGAAGGTTCAGTTAATCAAAGTCAGGTACCAGCCCATTGAGGACTAGACTAAGAAAGCCTTTAAGTGTTGTTTGAACCATTAAAATTTGTTGTTTGTTCCATAATAAAGACTTTGTTGTATCATTAAAAACTCTAAAGACCATCACTTCAGAAAAATTCCTGAGAACCTCTCTTTGAGGCGCCCCTGGCTTCCCGCTGGGCTTAAAGTATACGTCCTATAGAAAAGTACAGCTATTACAGGCCCAGCGCGCGACAGAACAGTGGCACCATGTAACAGAAAAGAATATCAACAGGCCTGACAAAGCAGTGCAATTTGCACAAGTACAAAATCACTTTTGAAAAATAAAACACCTCTCCTCTTCCCCTGCTCTTGAGCTCCCACTGCATCCCGATGAGGACTGAATATATACATGCACATAATATACCTGATTCATTTGCCTAGACAAATGATGAAAAATGTGGACAATTTAATATTAATCAATTAATTCACTTCTCTATCTACCTCATAGTTAAGGCACACATACATGTGAGAAGACCTTTTTCCTTTTGGTGTTTCATTTCCAGAATGATAATCATGTATAGCCTCTCTAAAGCTTAAAAAATTCTGATAGATGCTATTGTAAGTCAAGGGGAATTAAATCAGTTTAGGAAAGAGATCTAAATATTAAAAATAGATAAATGAGAATGATATGGATGAAAGTCTTAATGAACTCACTCACAGCCAGCATGAAGTGATATTATTTGAAAGTGAAAGTGATTCATAGGATTGAGGCAGGAATGTGAAAAAATTGACCTAGTGTTAGCTACTGTTGGCAGTATGCTGAATATGGTAAATGTACTGTAAATGTATTGCTCTCTTGTCAAATTCTTGCAAGATCTTTTTAACCAAAGAGAAAGATGATAAACTAGACTATATACTCAACTCCAGAACAGGAATTAATTTAATTGTTTATGTCAGTTGTTAGGCAAGCAAAAACCATATACAGTCCGCAAACTGGATTTTGACACCCTTGATATGACACACCATTAATCCAGAAGTTGTGCAAAAAAGATGTGTGTGGAGGGAGGGGGGTTGTGCCTATATTCCCCAGGGAATATTGAGGTGTGCTTTTCATGTTTCTGATCACCTGGGTTGCTTCAGGCCTATAAAGGCATTTTTAATAAAGAGAAAGTAACGTAGAAGTTTGCTTTTTTGTTTAAAAATGATGTAAAGGCACCAAGGGGACTCAGCCCCTTGGGTAAGGAGTAATGCAACATCTCAACCATTGATTCTATTATTCTGTAGGCATTTAGTGATATAAATACCTGATACTGAAGCATCATAAATTAAACTAAGTATTGCTGCATCACTGGCACAAGGACTCTTTGTCAAAGTGGTATTTATCATTTGAGGCAATGTTAAAGAAATATCCATTGGAGTACCAAGTTTCCCAACCCATTGAAGAATAGGCTCTATAAAATAGAAAACATCCATAATTCAGGATTCTTGGTTTAAAATTAAGTAAACAATTATTCAATTAATATTTAAAACATTTAAACAACAGTATAGCAAAGTTCGTGGATTTCCCTGAGCACATTTTTCTGAAACATATATGGCACATATGAACCATTTTAAGAACTGTCTTCAGGTCTGAAGTGTTAGGGGAAAATGCATACTATCTAATTTCTAGGGCAGAGGTTCTCAAGGTGGAGCATAGCCAGTGCTATATGTGAACTTATGGCAAGAAACAGGAGAGAAAATATGCAGAATGCTCTGGGAAAGATCAAAAGGGTAGAAGGTTGTTTTTATTGTTGCAGGTAGTAAGAGCAGATAGGAGAAAGAAAGTTGTTTATCTTTATTAGGAGAGTCCCTAATGCTGACTCTCATATCTGTGGCTGGATCTACACTGCTCTATATCCCAGGGTCTGATCCCAGATTATCTGCTTTGAAATGGATTTTGTTAGTCTACACTGCCAGATAATCTGGGATAAGGGGATAATCTGAGATCAGATCCTGGGATACAGAGAAGTGGAAGGGGCCTGTGTGTCTGGCATCTTGTGGCAGAGAAACCTCATAATGCTCCCTTCTCAAACAATGGGTAACAAAACACTAAAGACTTTTAGGAAAAGGGGGAAGTGCAAGCAGGAATGAAAAACATCTTGAGCTATATAGATCTAGGAAACATGTGAACACAAGACTGCATGTTTCCCCTAATTGTTATATATGCTTCTTCACTTCCAACATTAATGAGGCTTTGTCACACAGCTAAAAACTGTTAAAATAATGGCGTCTGGAGGTTTTGTAGGTGGAAAAGCTCCTTGTGGCTGAGCCTCCTCTCTATGTGAATACCACATGTTTAGCTTTTGCTAATTTGATTACATTAACATTGAAAATGAGTTTACAATTCTAATCTTGTGAGACACAACATGAAAATGACACAGCCTTAGAGACTCTAGGACAGAGTTAAAGCACCCTTAAACAGTTGCTAAATCTTCTTAAATTTACTCTTGCTTCACTTTTTAGTATGGTCTGGATTCATTTTTCTACTCTCTCTCATCTGCATGTTATTTTTGTGTGAATATTTTCATCTTTCAAGATTTTAGGCTCTTTTGTATTAATGTTATAAGTGGCCTCCAAATATAGACTTCAAATTCATCATATTCTGAGGGTTCAGCACGGAATGTGTAACTTGAGATTAATTTCACATAGATTAAAATCAAGAGTTTATACAAACTATGGCTTACCTCTCATAATATCAAGCAAAGTTCCTTCAGTAGTGAACATATTTAATCCATGATGCATATTGAATTTTACAAACCACTCCTCTATTGGAGCAATATCTGCCTCAACAGTACATAAAAAAAAAACACAATCAAAACATCAGTTAGTTATAAGAACATACATGGTTGAGATCCTACATCAGGTGACATAGCTATGACAACATGGATTTGGGAGCTAGGGAATGATGACTGCAGTGTTCTCTCAGTTGTGGGATACATTGAGAGAGCCCTTGGGGTTCTGCTGCAACAGTTTTGCTCAATGCAACAGAAAATACACAACAGTTGTCATTTGCTGATGTCCTGGTCTGTGGAAGCTTGAAAACCCTTCAGTTGGGGGCACTGCCTGGCCTAAGAGATAGAATGTTGGGGTCATGATCACTGGTTAATGAATATAAACATAAAATCCCAAACTTATAAGGCTGCAAATCCAGTTTACAATTTATGAATGGACCTTGTAACTACTGAATATACTCACATATAAGCCTAGAAATTTAATAAAAAAATCAACCTCCAAAAATCTGAGATGATTTATCTATGGAGCAATGTACTGTTCCATAACACTTTTTTTTTTTAAAGAGCTGTCACCTTCCCCGAGGAGAGTGTTGAAAGATGAGAGAACGTTAATGAAGTACCAACTCATATTACTCTCTCTGCTGCAGTGCCATTTCTAGCCTTTTCAGATACCTGGATGGGAAAATGGCAGAGATGACAGGTCTTTGGCACTTCCCCCTAAGGAGCTTTGAGAAAGTAAAAGGGATTTGTGGGTTCTCCTGTGACACATTACCCTCTCACCTTTCACCATTGTAAAGATAGAATTAAGTTTCATTATTGTAACTTAACTTTTATCAAAAAAGGAACTCTTTTTGAATGTTTGAGCAGGAAAATGGTGGCAGTGGTGGCCAGGTGCAACTGACCACTAAGGCAGCACTGGCACCTTCCCCTCTCCATGGAATCACCATTGATTTATCTATGGATCATATCAATATGTGCATGGTCTAAATTCACCGCAGTAGTGCGATTGACCTATTGCACAACCTTAATTCACTGCCTTAAAATGAGAATCTCCCATCTATTCAAAAGAACAGCCTAAGAGTGAGTTGAAAAGTGATTTAAGGTGATATTTAGTATGATGTTATGTGATCAGGAGTGCTTCTGTTCGTGGCTAGGGAGCTTCTAACACGCACATGAATCCTGTTGGAATTGGTAATGCCATTGTAGACCCTGCTGAATTAATTGATTCAGACCTTAGTGTGAAAGAACACTTAGTATGTACAGATAATGGTACTGGCATGAATGAAGTACAGAACAATTGGGAGGAATAACAGGCAATTATACCATTTTCTCACCTGTATTATATGTAATCTCTTCTCGGGGGATAGAAATTGACCATGAATCCACATCTTCTCCCTTGTATTTAAGAAATTATGTTTTCAGAGAAAGGTTTTCAGTTTAATTCATATATTCTCATACATTTTAGGATAATTATTTAGCAATCGCTTAGCATCAATCTCATGCTTTTCATAACGGATATGTTGATATATTTAAAAATATATTTTGAGAAGGAGGATCTAGTCCAAATCTCTCATTAACTGCACTGCTTACTGAGTCATGATTCACCTAACTGGCCACATATCGCTAATATAGTTTGCATAGGCTATTCCTGTTTCTTGGCAGAGGAATAAAATACATGTTGAGAAACCATTATCTCCTTCTTACTTATAATGACACTGGAGGAAAATGCGAACTCTTTCCATCTGTCAGACAAAACAATAAAAATCAGTATCAAATATTTAAAAGCCCCAAATTGACAGTTGTTTATTTTTTCCATCTTAAAAGGGAGCAATTTGGACCTTCTGCCTCAAGCCACCAATGTCATGGGTCAGGTAATAATGCAGAACAGATATACACAAACTTTCAGATTCTTACCTTTGAAAGCTATTTCACTTTCCACAAAGAATATGTTTTCATTGCTTCTTCACCTATACATTTCACATAAATACATATGTGGTGGTTCTTTTTAACACCAAAGCAGGAAATAATAACCTCAGGGGCTATCACGAATGGTCAGGCCTGTTCTCTGCTTCCACAAAGGGAATGGCTGGATCGAATAGTTTAAGGTTACAGGAGAGTAATGGCCCCTCATGGCGTAATGGGTTAAACCCTGCTCCAGCAGGACTGCTGACCAAAAGGTCAGCAAATCGAATCCAGGGAGCAGTGTGAACTCCTGTCTGTCAGCTCCAGCTTCTTGTGCGGGGGCATGAGAGATGCCTCCAGCAGGATGATAAAACATCCAGGCGTCCCTGGGCAACGTCCTTGCAGACAGCCAATTCTCTTACACCAGAAGCAACTTGCAGTTACTCAAGTCACTCCTGACATGAAACAAGCAAACCAGGAGAGTAGATTTTAATTCAACATTAGAAGGAATTTCTTGACAATAAGAATGGTTTGGCAATGGAACTAGTTGTCTAGAGAGCTGGTGCAATCTTCTTCTCTGGACATCTTTAAGAAGCTCAACACCTACCCAATGGGGATGATTTAGCTGGAGACCCTTAATTGAACAGGGGTTAGTTTTAATGGCTGTGAAGCTCCTTCAAAAGCTATGATTCTGTTATTCTATTTTACAACTCTTTTATAACATGATGGAAGAAAGTGTAGTATATGGGTCACCTGTAGTCCCTAATCTCTTTTCATAGCTCCAAGCACTATGCCTTGGGATGTTGTGTGGTGTTCGGGCTGTGTAGTTGTGTTCTAGCAGCATTTTTCTAAACTTTTTCCCTACTGCACAAGAAACCAAAAAGCTGGCACCAATGAGATTAACCTCTTCAGTCCACTCAGCACCACATGTTAATTTACATGGAATTTCATGATGCTACTTCTCACACAAGCAGCAGAGGTTTTCTGTCTGTAGTGCACATGAGAGGTTTTCTGGAACCCTACCGTTAATAATGTGTATAAGGAATGATTCCAGCAGTTATTCTTGCATGTGATATTGCCAGAACAATATGATTTCTGTTGCTTCCAAGGTGTGAGGTGATAGTATGGCTGTGGCAAGTATGACCACATAAATTAATTCAAGAATAACCCGCTCTCTCAATCCCTGCCCTTCTTGGCTGGTCATGAAGGGGGGAGATGCAATTAGATCTTAAATACAATACAGTATTAATGTATCTCCGAGGGAATGCAACTTTCAAGTGTGCAACTTTCTACCCTGTTTAAAAGAAGCAGTTAGACTATTGCTGAAAAAGCACTCCCTGGATTCCCTGGACTTTAATCATTGCAAACTAGTCTCCAACTTTTCTTTTTTGGGCAAGGCGATTGAGAAGGCAGTAGCCCTCCAACTCTAAGCAGTCTTGGATGATGCACACTTCAAAGCAAGATATGGAGTTGAGACTGCTATGGTTGCCTTAGTGGATGATCTCTGTCAACACTGATAAGGCGTGTGGGTCTCTGTTGGTGCTTCTAGGCCTCTCAGTGGCTTTCGATACCATCAGTCATGGTATCCTTCTGGAACACTTGGGGGGATTGGGAATCAGAGCTACTGTGCTGCAGTAGCTCTGATCATAGATCTCAGGCAGGTTTCAGATGGTGGTCCCACATAACAGAAAAGGGGCTGAAGACACAGCAGACTAAACCCTTTTTATTCAGGAAGGCTTTTGAGGCAGAAAGTGTTAAAGAATGGGCTGAGGGATGTTGCATGGGGTTCAAATTGTTCTTAACTGGGTTTTCAAAACTTGTTTTAAAATTGTTTTAAGTAATGCAATATTTAATTCTATTTTAATATTTATATTTTGTAGGTTTTAAAATTGTATGATTCTGAAAGTTGTGAGCAGCTTTGGTTCCCAGTCCTTGGAGAAAAGTGGAGTACAAATAAATAAAATAATAACAACAGATCATCTTAATATGCCAGCCACAGATGTAGGCGAAACGTCAGAAGAAACTGCTGATAGTATATGGCCATATAGCCTGAAAACCACACAACACTTCAAAAACAACACCATTATGATGTGAGATCCTCCTTGCTTGGATAGTAGTTCCCAAGCTAACTAGACAGTCTCCATATCACTTGCTATCAGATTCTTTCAAATGGTGGTGCCAAGGATTGAATCTGGAACCCTCTGCATAGAAATCGCATATTCTTCCATTAGGCCTTTTCCAAAATGTTTTACCGTAGACATTTCGAAGTAGAAGACTTTTGAGTAGGTACTGTTGAAGATTTGTATGCTTGGAGCAAGACCTGCTGAAGTATAAAGCAGGAGATTCTTCCTTCTATTCTCCTTGGTGTCGGGCTTGTTGTAGTCATATAAATGACAAATGACTTCCTTTAACAAAATGATAAAAATGATTTTAAAAAACAGGTTAATGAATCATGGATACATAATATATAACGCAATCAACATTGTAAATGACAAACAAAATCTAAGGAATTATGTTAATGACTTCAAAATTAGTAAACATCAACAACAATAAATCATAATAAATGAGATAGTAAGAATGTGTGCATGCTTGATGGTCTGTTTTATGATTGAACCTGTTTTTGAATTGTGTCTGCCTGCCTGCCTGCTGTTCAGGTGCTGCTAGCTGAGTGTTGCATCTATACTACATAATTATATCACTATAATTCCCATTTTAACTGCCTCGATTCCATCCTATGAAATCCTGAGATTTTTTATTTTAGGGAGGGAAATTTTGAATTCTCAGCCACTAAACTACAAGGGAGCTGCGGTTGTGCAATGGGTTTAACCCTTGTGCTGGCCGGACCGCTGACCTGAAAGTCGGCGGTTCAAGTCTGCAAGACGGGGTGAGCTCCTGTCAGCCCCAGCAGGGACATGAGAGAAGCCTCCCACAGGATAGTAACACATCCAGGCATCCCCTGGGCAACGTCTCTGCAGACTGCCAATTCACTCACACCAGAAGCAACTTACAATTATCTCAAGTCACTTTTGAAACAATAAGAAAAAACTAAACTACAAACCCCAGGATCTTACATGTTATAGTGGAATCATCATAATGGAAGGCCTTTAGATAGCGAGATCCTTTTCCCTGGATCTGTCCTGTCATTGACCTACAATATAGTACTGGATAACTCATTTAGTAAGTTGGCTGTCATACCATCTGATAATTTTATCACAGCTATAGCAGACCTTAACAAAATGTACTGTAGTAAAAAAAAGACAGCACTTCCCATCTTGGGAATTCAATTCAAACAAGAAAGTTTATGTTCCCAGTGTTGAAACTCAATGAATCATTCTTGAAGTTCGCAGGTAATTGCCAGACCATTTTGTTTTGTTACATTCTAGTTTACAGATTCCTAGTTCCGTCTACATAAGAGCTGCCAGCCAATTTCGAAACCAGTTTTTTTTATTTTAGGGTGTTTCTTTTCTCTTTATTAACATTTCACAGTTTTATTTATGTGTGAATCCAGAACACAAAACTGAAAACTTACCAATCTGTGCTCTGGAAGGAACAATTTAATTGCTTTAGTATCATTCCTGAAGACATCTGTGTAGCAGGAGAAACTTGAATTGGCCTCCACTGAAGGAGAAATTTTTGATTAAGGTTGTGTTTAATATTTCAAACTATCAATTGATTTTTCTTCTTTTCATGGACTAGTACATCTATGTTTGCTTTTCAAAGAAAAAACCCTGTTCACTTTTATCACTTTGTTTTCAGTGTGAAATCTTAAAACACCTTTCATTACCATTATAATTCCATTGCAAATCTAGATCACTGTTCCCATATTGCAGGTGAGAAAGCTAGGGACCCCCCGATGGCACCATTGGGGGGTTGACCATTGGTTGACCATTGACCGGAAGGTTGACGGTTTGAATTGGGGGAGCGGGGTGAGTTCCTGTCTGTCAGCTCCAGCTTCCCATGCAGGGACATGAGAGAAGCCTCCTACAGGATGCTAACGCACCTGAGCGTCCCTTGGGCAACATCCTGGCAGATGGCCAGTTCTCTCGCACCAGAAGTGACTTGCCGTTTATCAAAAAAAGGCGAGAAAGGGCTGTAGCTGAGAAAAAGTAGCTTTAATAGGAGTCCTGCCTGACTTTATCTGTTGATTTAATTCATATCCCACCTCTCTCCTAAACTGTCTTACAACAAGGATTACAGCTAAAATCAATTGTAGGTAAAAGTAAAGGTTTCCCCTGCCATTAAGTCTAGTCGTGTCCGACTCTGGGGGGCAGTTCTCATCTTAATTTTTAAGCCGAAGAGCCGGCGTTGTCCGTAGATGCCTCCATGGTCATGTGACCAGCATGACTGCATGGAGCACCATTAACTTCCCACCGAAGCGGTACATATTGATCTACTCACATTTGCAAATAAGTCTTCAACTGACCTAAGCTGTCCTTAGTCCCCCCTCAGGGGTAGAGAACTGCTAAGTCGGCAGAGGTTGGTAGTTTGAATTTCTCCCTGGATTCGAACCACCAACCTTTCAGTCAGTAAGTTCAGCGGCTCAGTGGTTTAACCCGCTGTGCCACCAGACCCCACAAAATCAAGTGAAATAAAATAATAATTAATTGCAATTAAAATGGCAATTGGATTGAATGGAGGGGCAAATGTGCCAGCAGATTGTGCTACATTTGCTGCTATGATTTCTAGCATTGTTTTAAATATCCAAACAATATTTATGTAGTTCTTGACTATTTTCTGGCTCCTTCCAACACCAGCTGCAGATTTAAAATTCCATAAAATGCAGCAGTACCTGCGGATAGTACTAATAATGTTTTAAATGGATTTAAACTTAATTCTTTATTTACTGTGTCATGTTTTTACTGTAATGTTTTGTATGTTGCCGACATCGAATTGTTGCCGTTGTAAGCCGTCCTTAGTCCCCCCTCAGGGGTAGAGAAGGATGGGGTATAAATGTTTGAAATAATAAATAAATAAATAAATAAATAAGTCTTCAACTGACCTTTTATATTGTAGGCAATTCCTGATGAAAGTTTCAAAGTTGCTGCAAGTACTATACAAATCTGCAACAGCTCCATCTGTGCAATAAAACACGTGTTTCAAACATTCATTTAAAATATATATTGAAACTTGTCTCTCTTAACTGTTACAGTGACCAAGAAGCCGAACACAGAACAGGATATGAAGGTAGATGGCAATGGAAAGCATGGCTTTCTCTATGCCTCCCCGGGTGTTTGCGAAGACAGCGATAGGCAAAGCCTACTTTTCACCAAGGACAGGCCAACAGACAAATTCAGCCCCATTCCCAATAGGCTCAGCTTTGAATGTGTGCCTTGGTTGCCAAGGAAAAGTAATGCTCTGGACTTTCAAATAATGTTGTTGGGAAAATAAAATCCTGCTCACCACCCCGGACCACTGAAGACACCTGCAAATCAATCCAACTCAGGTTGGACTATGCTGCCATATAATGCACACTGGAACTATATTATATACTAGCCGTCCCTTGCCATGTGTTGCTGTGGCCCAGTCTGTGTATATGTGTTGTGTGTGTGTATATGTGTATATATATGTGTTTGTATTTATATATGTGGTTTTGAACATGCACTGTAATGTATTTTTCATTTTTTGGCTTTTTAAGTGTGTTTTTCAGTGTTTTTATGAGTGATGGTCACTCGCTGGCCTGATAGGTGTCATGTATCCAAATTTGTTGTCAATTCGTCCAGTGTGTTTTTTGAGTTATGTTAATCCCACAAACGAGCATTACATTTTTATTTATATAGATAAGGTCAGTGTAGACCAGGCATGGGCAAACTTGGGCCCTACGGTTGTTTTGGACTGCAACTCCCACAATTCCTAATAGCCTCAGGTCCTTAGGAATAGCGAGAGCTGCAGTCCAAGTGGCTGAGAGGGAAAAGAAAGGGCCCAAGGCTGTTAGGAATTATGCTAGGCCCTTTCCTTTCCCTTAAGCAGCTGAGGGGGGGGGGGGAGGAAAAGGCCGGGCTGTTAGGAATTGTGGGAGTTGCAGTCCAAGCAGCTGAGGGGGGAAAGGAAAGGGCCTGGGGCTGTTAGGAATTTTGGGAGTTGCAGTCTAAGTAGCTGAGGGGGGAAAGGAAAGGGCCTGAGACTGTTGGGAATTGTGGGAGTTGCAATCCAAGTGGATGAGGGGGAAAAGAAAGGGGCCTGAGACTGTTAGGAATTGTGGGAGTTGCAGTCCAAATGGCTGAGAGGGAAAAGGAAGGGGCATGAGGCTGTTAGGAATTGTGGGAGTTGCAGTCCAAGTGGCTGAGGGGGAAAAGAAAGGGGCCTGAGGAATTGTGGGAGTTGCAGTCCAAGCAGCTGAGGGGAAAAAGAAAGGGGCCTGGGGCTGTTAGGAATTGTGGGAGTTGCAGTAAAAGTAGCTGAGGGGGGAAAGGAAAGGGCCTGAGACTGTTGGGAATTGTGGGAGTTGCAATCCAAGTGGATGAGGGGGAAAAGAAAGGGGCCTGAGACTGTTAGGAATTGTGGGAGTTGCAGTCCAAATGGCTGAGAGGGAAAAGGAAGGGGCATGAGGCTGTTAGGAATTGTAGGAGTTGCAGTCCGAGCTGCTGAGGGGGTAAAGGAAGGGGACTGAGGCTATTAAGAATTGTGGGAGTTGCAGTCCAAGCGGCTGAGAGGAAAAGGAAGGGACCTGGGGTTGTTAGGAATTGTGGGAGTTGCAGTAAAAGTAGCTGAGGGGGGAAAGGAAGGGACCTGGGGTTGTTAGGAATTGTGGGAGTTGCAGTCCGAGCTGCTGAGGGGGTAAAGGAAGGGGACTGAGGCTATTAAGAATTGTGGGAGTTGCAGTCCAAGCGGCTGAGAGGAAAAGGAAGGGACCTGGGGTTGTTAGGAATTGTGGGAGTTGCAGTAAAAGTAGCTGAGGGGGGAAAGGAAGGGACCTGGGGTTGTTAGGAATTGCAGGAACTGCAATCCAAGTACCCAAGGGGGAAAAGAAAGGGGACTGAGACTGTTAGGAATTGTGGGAGTTGCAGTCCAAGCAGCTGAGGGGAAAAAAGAAAGGGCCTGGAGTTGTTAGGAATTGCAGGAGTTGCAGTACAAGTAGCTGAGGGGGAAAAGGAAGGGACCCAAGGTTGTTGGGAATCATGGGAGTTTCAGTCCAAAACTCCCGGAGGGCCCAAATTTGCCCATGTGTGGTGTAGATGTTTGAAAAACAGCTGTCTCCGTTTTCCTCTCTGGCAAACTGTATTTGGGAGATGCAGTCCCAAAAATTAGTGTTCCCAATCCCATCATCTCTGATAACACGCAATGCCTTTGAAGCTCAGTTTTGAATTAAGCTGATTTGAGGCCTGAGAATGGCAAAACCCTTTTTAAAAAATAAACCTCCCCTTTCCCAATATATTTAAAATATTATTTTAAGAAATAGCACACTATGCCTTTATAAAGTATTACACCAGCTTTGTCCTTGCTTAGTTGAGGTATATAATACTGTATTCTCCAATAAAATTACGCTTTAGTCTAGTAAATGATGTATTGCGTTCTGGAGAAATGTGTGTCTTTGGCACCATTTTGTGAAGGCGGACATTTTGAATTTCCTCAACCTGAGCGAATTAAATTGAGGCCGCTCTCCTTCCCTCAATGAGTTGCTTTTCATTCCCCAAATTGAGGGTTAGGATTAAATATTAAGAGCATTAAACAGCTTTAATGCCAAAAAAGGGGTGAAATTCACCTCTTTCAGGCCTCTTTTTGCCCAGCTTTAGCATAAGTCTTGGGGAGGCATCTTGTTCACTTCCAAAAGAACCAGTTAACTGTTGTTTTGGATTCCATTGGATGACAGTTGGGAAGATTTTTTTTTCAAATATTTTTTTTATTATTTATCATCTAACACAGTTGGGAAGATTTAAATTTCCTTCATTGGCATTTTTTTTCCAAACTGAAATACGCTTATTTGTTGTTATTCCTAAACAATATTAAATCTGTTGTGGATGAGGGTCTCAGTTTGGGAAAATCTCTGGAAGCATCTTTTCCTGAAAGGAAGCCTCTTTCCACATGAAAGCATCAATGGATGCTAATCATCCATCATCCATGTTTGCCTCTGGAAAGGTTTTCCTTCAAGTGTTTCTTTTAAAGCAGTCATGAGCAAACTTTGGCCCTCCAGGTGTTTTGGACAGTTAGGAATTATGGGAGTTGAAGTCCAAACTACCTGGAGGACCGAAATTTGCCCATGCCTTGCTTGAAAGTGATTTCAATACACAGACAATTGTGTATCCAGGCTCAATATTGCAGTGGATTACAAAAACACAAGAACTGCATTTTCTTTAAACAATTTTTTTTTTTGTGTCAGGAGAGACTTGAGAAACTGCAAGTCGCTTCTGGTGTGAGAGAATTGGCTGTCTGTGAGGACGATGCCTAGGAGACGCCTGGATGTTTTACCATCCTGTAGACTGGATGTTTTACCTGGATGTTTTACCATCCCCTACAGAATGGGGGATGCCTGGCTCGAGAGCAGTACGTGTGAAAAAGATCTTGGAGTCCTCGTGGACAACAAGTTAAACATGAGCCAACAATGTGATGTGGCGGCAAAAAAAGCCAATGGGATTTTGGCCTGCATCAATAGGAGCATAGTGTCTAGATCTAGGGAAGTAATGCTACCCCTCTATTCTGCTTTGGTTAGACCACACCTGGAATATTGTGTCCAATTCTGGGCACCACAATTCAAGAGAGAGATTGACAAGCTGGAATGTGTCCAGAGGAGAGTGACTAAAATGATAAAAGGTCTGGAGAACAAGCCCTATGAGGAGCGGCTTAAGGAGCTGGGCATGTTTAGCCTGAAGAAGAGAAGGCTGAGAGGAGATATGATAGCCATGTATAAATATGTGAGAGGAAGCCACAGGGAGGAGGGAGCAAGCTTGTTTTCTGCTTCCCTGGAGACTAGGACGCGGAACAATGGTTCAAACTACAAGAAAGGAGATTCCTCTGAACATGAGGAAGAACTTCCTGACTGTGAGAGCCGTTCAGCAGTGGAACTCTCTGCCCGGAGTGTGGTGGAGGC